AAATACTGTTGAGGTTTAGTGCAATATGGAGAAACAGTTTATCATCTGTAGCCTCTGGAGGGGCTGACCTGCATCCACATATCCTAATCTGGCACATCACAATTCCCCTATAATAAATATTTATTTTCAATTCAAATTGCAATAGAGCCTTCTTCTGACCACACTACGTTTTCCATATTTTCCAAAAAACTGTGCTTGTCCTGAAATCCATGTGCTTTTTACTATGTGTRTATAAATATAACTCTTTGTCTGAATGTGTATGTTCCTGCTTTTTTGATTTTTAGAGGCAAATCAGCTTTCAATTTAATACTATTTTTCAAATATTTTTCTACAGAAGAAGGTAGTAGTTACCTATATCCACAAAGTGGATAATTGTGTTGATGTAACACTTCAGGACTTCCCATTACATTCAGTCCTTCTAGAATTTTTGASTCAAGCATTAGCCATATGTCAGGGTCCAAACAGATTTTAATTAGCATAAGTCTTAGAGAAATGGGTGTTGATCTTTCCAAGGAGGAATTAGATATTTAATTTTTTCAATGTACCTGTCAAATATTGTGTTTAATGATGAGTAGAGCACAGATAGCTTTGACAGCAGAGCATGGAGCAGGTAACAAATGTACTGATCCAATTTTAAAACAGTATGTATATCTAGGAAGGATGCAAAGTACAAAGTCTGGCATTTTGAGYCCAGGCAGGAATGGATAAAGGGAAGTGGAGGACAATGTGTGATGACCTCTCGTTGGTTATAGTGAGCTGCGTACAGATGGAGACTCTTCTGGAGGACAACCATCCTAAAAATGTGCACTTGTGCCCATGCCAGCTTGTGTCCTAAGGTGCTCTGGAGTCCCTTTAAGCTGTCTCTGCCCCTGGCAGGGTAATTTTCAGGGAAGGCTGGTGCTGTCAAAGGGAGATGACAGGCTGAGATACCCCTGTGCCTTGTCTGCAGAAGACATCACTTGTGACTTTTACCATTTGAACATCCCCCTGCATTCTTTGAACCATTCCTCTCTGGTGGAGTCTGGAGTGACTGAGGAAAGCCTTCATGCCTTAAATACCTCTGGGGATTTGAGATTTGGCAAACTGATGGAGTTTTCTGGTTGCCTTCAGAAGCCTCTACAATTTTCTTGAGTGTTAGTCCAGGTTTGCTTTCTGTTGTCTTTTTATCAAGGAACTCTTGGGGAACATGTCAACAATTGACACCATTTCTGTTTACATTTGCTTTCTTGTTTCTTTTTTTATTCAAAGAAACTTTTGAAATAATTTTTCCTTGTAGTTCCAAGACCCAAAWGGATAAAACACTTTTTCCAACTAAAGGATTGACCTTATCAAGAAGGAGTTTGGATCCTCTTTATATTCCCTGTAACAGGAATGTCTATGGTGTTATGACCTATAACAAATCTTTGGTATTTTCTAAATATGTTATTGGTGATGACCCAACATGGTTACAGAAATGCTGTGCTGCAGTCAGTTTTAAGCTCCTGTAGCTTGTTCTCAGCTCCCAACCCAAGACACAAAATATTTCCACTGCTAGGCTTTTCTACWGGCCTTTTTCAGATCCAGGAATTCACCTACATTTCCTTTGAAAGGGAAATGCAATCCTTTCCTTTGTGGTGCACCTCAGCACCTAGAGCTGGATGTTAGCAAGTGACCTTAGCTCTAGGCAGGTGCCTTTCTGAGCTCGGTCTGTTCAAGGGAAGTTGGAGTCCTGGCTTTTGCAATCACCTCTCTCATTTGTACTTAAAATAGTTTGTAAAATTGTTACATAGGAATTTTGGGGATGCTTTTTTAATATTTTTTTTTGTGTGTATGTATTTTTTATTTTTCCCCCTCCCTGTTGGTTATGAGAAATTAAATATTATGGGATCTTTTTCTAATTTTACCCTGTGCCTTTGGCTCTGCGTGAAAAAAGCCATTTGATGCAGTTGCAGCTGCCAATATCTCTTTGTCACTCAGTCATTACGGTGTAATTGGATCTAAAGTAGGTGTATAATTTGCTGCTAGCAATACTGGCTTGTCTTAATTATGACTTCCAGCTGATTTCTAAGGATACTCATCMATGAATATGCATAGCATAGCAGTCAGACTGGTGCAGATGCATAACTCTTCCTGAGAACTCAAGCATTCTTGTTATTTATGTATCAAGATTTTTAAAAAAACATCAGGGAAGGATCTCTGACTTAAACTGGATGGAGGCYTTTAGAAGGGCTTGTGACACAGCCCAGGACACAATGACTGCAAAGCCTGAGATGTTTTAGACTATAGATGAGTGTGTTCTTCCACATTTGGCAAAATTTCTGGGAGAAAAAGAGGAAAATCTGAGCGGTATAGACTTGACCTCGTACTCATATGATTTCCCCAGTGCCTTCTTCTACATTCACCCTGACTGAAGTCTACAAATACATTTTCACTGAGACCATTTCTTTTCAGTGTCTCTTCTGCAAGCCAGATCTTTGAAACATCTGTATTTAATTTTATTCTGGGTGCTATTCTTGCCCATGTGTATTATGATTTTTTAAAGCCTCCTATTTTTCCTCATCTGAAAACTGTCATGTCAAAGAAAACTRGTTTTCCAGGCTGTAACAGTACTTTTAAAAAGTAACACAGTCATGAGTTAGGGTCACATAAAGTTCTAAAACTGTTCCAAGCAGCTCCCTGTCACAGGYTCACACAGTTGACTTTTTTTTGCAGATTGCAGCTGGAAGATCTCAAAGCTTATCACAGAAAATACCCAGCTCCTGTCAGGTATCAAGGATGTGGTGTTTTAATAGAATCCTTGCACTTGCATTCCGACACCCCATTAGAGGTCCTGACATGGCCAACTTGGCATTAGAAAATTTGGGACATGTGGCAAACCCTSCTCAAGGTTATGAAAACTGTGGGGATACTAAGAGATTTGGACAAGCTGAAAGATACATGCACAGTAGCCAATTTTATGATTAGCCATTTATGTATACTTAATTGCATATTTTCAATTACCCCCAGCTTCATTTAGAAATATCTGTTATATTTAGGGGGGACATTTCAAGTTTTCTGAATTAGGTTTTTTTTTCCCCCTTCTTTTTTTTTTTTTAATTTTTTTTTTTTTTTTTTGTTATATTTAGGGGGGACATTTCAAGTTTTCTGAATTAGGTTTTTTTTTCCCCCTTCTTTTTTTTTTTTTAATATTTCTTTTTCATTTTTCTTTCCTTTCTTTTTGATCACTGCATTCAGGACAGCTCCCTCAAGTGTTCTGTGTGAAAGCTGAGGCTGACAAAGCTTTTAAGGGAATTCTCACTGTATTTTCRCTACACATACTGCCTACTACAATTCAATATTCATAAATTACTTTTGGCTGCTGTTAGTATTTCCCATCTCTGTTTGCTAATTCATGTGCCAGATATATTTAAAATGAATCATTAAACACCAGGGGATTTCACGCTTGTTCCACATGCAACAGCTCACTGTTGAAMAAAACTCTAGTGCTTTGTACTGAAGCTAAACCCTGGATACCTTTGATTTTATAATAAACATAGGATTCAGAAACAGAATAAATCAGATCCTGTACTTTCAGGTTGGCAGAAATGATTGATCATGCCTTTCTGACTGCARGTCTCATGCAGCCCTACTTTAGATCACACAAAGACATCTGGATGATGAAAAGCAGGCTGGCTTAGAAGACAGCACACAGTGCTGCACCACTGTCATATTTGTTTAGTGGCATGTGTACACAAAAATGTTTCAGGTTGTAGCTCATGATAATAATTCTCTCTTATGTCGGATCCATCTTGGCCCATTTTTATTCCTTTACCCATATTTTAAACAAAAATTGTTTTCAARAACCTTTCCAAAATGGAAATACAAAGCCTTTATCTAAAGCAGAYAGATGTGGGTAAAAAAATAGCTCAACTCTGCACTCACTGAGAATGCTGCTTTTAGAAATAAAATCATTATGTGTTAGTCAAAAGGTTAGGTAGTCACCCAAACACTCCTGTTCTTCATGCTTTAGGAAAAACTGTTTGCTCATGTATCAGAAACCSTTTAGTCCTACAGATCTGAGTTTGATGTGTTGCTGTTTGGCTCTTGGCAATGGATGTATGCACCGAAGCTCTAGGCTTGAATATTGACTGTGGATATGAAACCCAAAAATTTATCTGGGCAGAGGGGGCAGGGAGCATCAGCCTGTGACTGTCTCCCTGTTCTGCCTTGTTGTTGAGGGGTTTGTGTATCCATCATAAAAACAAGACTCATTTGGAAGCTGMTTTCATGAAGAAATTGTAGTTCATTTATGTCATGAATGTGCCTGCATACAAATTACAGATTGGTGCAGCACATT